GGAAAGTAGTACTGGAATTATGGCTGAAAGAGCTGGGGGTGTTGCTGGCCCTAGATCTGAGCCGAGGAGTGCTACAGAATATAATCCCTGCAGGCCATATTGGTGTAGATACAGTCTGCAGGTGTTTATGCTAAGCTTACAAATTGTTGATACTTTATTGGTGACATTTACCCTCTTGATCCTTGTCATTCACTGTGATAAATCCATTTATGAAGATGCATCCTGGCTGTCCAAAGTCCAGCAGAGACACCTGGAGTAGCTGTTGATATGGTGATGGCTCAATAAGGCCATGACCATAGTGCCAACAGTTACCTCTGTGCACCCCATTAGAGCTGTGTCCAGCTCTTTTTTTTTTTTTTTTGCATTAATGTGAACTTCCCCACATTACAATAATCAAAGCCTGTGAGGTTTTGTACTGCTTGAACACAGGTCTTGTTTCTGCATTGGGTGTAAATGAGTGTGGGGTTTCTTACCCGGTCAGAGGTTGGTCTGTTGCCCTTTCTCTGGGTGATGAGGCTTAAACAAAAGCAGATTGCAGCCATCTGGGGTGAGCTTTATGAGTAAAGTGGACTTTCCATACTGAGTGGATAGAACTGTGTTGCACTCTTTGCTTCTGTATGCCTTTAATCCATAGTGCATAACGGTGTTGTCTAATTGATCATGGTCTTGTCTTCTACATGCATGGCTTCATCGTTATCACATTGCACCATTCATCTAACCCAGGAGCCAATAAAGGTATGATAACCTTTTAGTATATACAGTTATTTCTTTGATCACATTCATGTAGCTGTGATGTTCTTCATTCAGCTTTTAGTTTCAAAAATACAACCTCAAAATACAATCTTTGGTAACAACTGTGGTACTTGGCATCTGTGTGTTGATCTTCATTTGCCTTCAGTACCAGAAAAAGGGAAGGTTGTATTTGGTGGCACACCTTACCTACAGCTCTCTAGAAGTCCTGCTGTGCTAATAAAGGCATCCTGACTTGCAGTGTAGCCAGAGGTAGGTGTAGCTAGATCTTCTTTAGTGGAATAAACTTTTTTTTTTTAAATCTTACACAAAGAGTACTTATGTAGTTAGACTTCGGTGCTGTATGGAGCTCAATTGACGAGTGGTTTGCTGCCTCTAATAGCAAAGGTTTCCTGCCTTTCTCCTTGTTATGTACTTTATTCCAGCGCTGTGCTGGCAACAGATTCTTCTGTGAACCATTTCCATTCATGAATCCAGCAGGAGACTTGTCACTTTTTCCCCTTTCTCTGGATAGGACTTTGGGAAGGGAAAGACTGAACGCCTGTGTCCTGGTGGCAGCCAGCTGTCAGTGGCTCACCTTTGTCTACTGAAGTGCACTTGTAAGAGGACACTGAGTTCCTCTGCCTGTGCTCCCTTCCCCCCCTAGTGATGATGCCCCATGGCTGTCTCTGAACTGGCTGGCAGTTTTCCCATGGAGAGCCTTGGTGGGAGCCTGCAGAAGGCCAGCGGGCCCAACCCATGGTGGCAGACTGGCAGTGCGGTGCCCAGCCCTGGCAAAGTCACACCAGAGGGAGTTTCCTGTCAGCTCGTGGCTCCTGGGGTGAATGACTACGGAGGCTTTGGTGAAAGACCTGCTTGGGTGGCTGTGCCTGGCAGGAGACAGGTTACAGTCACCTGGTTTAGTCCGTCGCTGGCTTGGCTGCTCCTCCTGCTGATGCAGGGAGGAAACCAGTTCCTTGGAGATATCTGTCCTACTGTCCTCTTAACTGCTGGAAGAGAGCTTGACTTTCCTTTTCATTGCAGCTCTGCGATTTCGCGCGCCTGGAAAGCGTTTTTCATGAACAGAATAGTTTTTCTTAAGCCACTATGTTTATAATAAATGCCAATCTGATGCATCTTTCAGGTGGTTTTCCTGTCAATTATCCCATCACTTAGTCCCTTTGAGTGACACAGGAAAACTGAAGGTTACAGTTCTTGGTTCTTATAGGGCACGCTGCTTTTAGGAGACAACTGAAAAATGACAGAGCAAAAAGACAAGATGGGTTTGCCTCAACCTTTGTTTAGATTGAAATAAGAACTCTTGTCTTTGAACATCTGTTCAAGAGAGGCAGCAAGATAAACTAGAGTGTGTACACAGCTTTGGGAAGGGGGTGCTCCCTAATAAATTTGCTTTTTTAACATTTCTTATGCTATAGTCAGAAGCCTGTCCCATTGTTTCAGAATGGTGGATTGAATTCTGCAGTGGTGTGTCGAGAAGTGTCTGCAGATGCTTGTACCTTGGAGGTCATGAGTCTGCTAGCAGCCAAAACAGGAATTACAGAAACATACTGCCCTGTAGATGTGAATTCAAGCCTTGCTGATGATCCTGAAAAAGGGACTGGGCATGGGAATGCTCATGAAATCCTGCGTAAGCTGTGGCTCTAGGTCTAGAGGTACCCTCTTGCAAAGGCAATCTCTAACAGGATAAAAACTCCTTGGTTCTCCAGTTCCTCAAGCAGATCAAGAGGAAAAAAAGTGTCAAGGAAAACCTGTATTGAAGTTGCCAGAGGAAACTATTACTTTGTTTACATCTCAAGCCTTGGGATAAAGTTTTGTTTTTTTTTTTTTTCTTATTAAAAAACCAAAACCTTCGATCAAACTTGCTCACGAGTCTAAGTATTTTCTGTCTTGGTGCTTATTCATCTAACACTGGAGAGAGGCTTGAAGCCTGCCAGTTTTCACTAAAACCAGCATGAGGAAACCTGCTCCACTGTTGACCGTAGAGTCTCGTGGCTTTTAGTGAACTTGAACAGTTTGGATTTCTTGCCAGCTACACTGTCTTCCTCAGCACTGTGAGATTCATTTATGCTGACCACAAAGTTTTGATCCTAAATGTTCTTGATGCAGAGCTGGGAGCTCGTTCCTTAAGGCAGAAGGGAACTTGGGGGATGCAAACACTGTTTGTTTGGGGGTTTTGTTTGTTTGTTTGTTTGTTTTTCCTTTAAGTATAAGCCAGCAGAACTTAGGTCATTAAGCATCTCTCTTCTGGTTCCTGATGTCCAGTGGGATTGGCAACAACACCATTTTCCTTCTTACACTCCCAGTCTAAATGTTTAACATGAAGCCAAGTCATGTTCAGTGGGGCGGGACTCCTGAATAAGTGTCTGTACTTCCTGCAACTGCAGATTGAATCCAGCCTTCCAGATTTAATCCTTAATGATATGAAGTGAGTTCCATGGCTGAGGTATTTTGTATGAGAGCAAGAAAGTATGCTTTAAACAGAGCTCCTTTCTCTTCTTATGCCATGAGGGGTTTTTTATGAATTCATTTGACTTGAGGCAGTTGTGGGGTTTTTTTGTGTCAGCTTTCAAATCTGTCAAATGATGTTGAGTATCTGTGCACACAGGTTTTTCCATAGTGCTGTGTACTATTGGGGTATAAATCCTTGGGCTTTGAACCCCCTAAGGAGAACAGCATCTTCCAGGAGAGATGATGGGATAAGCAAGGGCTCTGCTGTAAGATGACACAAAGGGTTAATAACATGCTTTATTCTTTCCAGGTACTTTATTACCCAGATTGCCATCTGAACCCGGGATGACATTACTCACCATCAACATAGAGAAAATTGGTCTGAAAGATGCTGGGCAGTGCATTGATCCTTACATCACAGTCAGTGTAAAGGGTAATGATCTGTTCCTGTCTCCTCGTTTCGAGTTTGGAGAGACTGCTTTCCGAAAGCTCTATTGATTTCTCAGCCTGCTGAGAAAAATATTTGTTGGTGCCTGCATTTTCTGTGGTGGGCTTAAGGCTTCTGCTTTAATCCAGGGTGGAAAACTTCTGTATTTGAGTGTACTCCCCAACACACAGCAGTCTCTGGGCTTTCTGGAGACTGTGAACCACAGCCCACTGACTCCATTCTTGCCCTGTCATTAAAGTAATTTTTTTAGTAAGACAAAGCTTATCTTAGCAAGGCTTAAAGTTCAGAGGAATGGGTACAAAGCTGGGAAGCAAAGCTTGCAAGTTAAATAAAATGTAAAGTATGTTTTAGTCCTGGCAGTGAAATGTTTTGGCCAAAGCCTGGTGGGCTAACAGCCTCCCCCTCTGAGAGGCTCCATGAATCTGGACGCATTTCTCTCTCTGTGTCAGTCCAGGACAGGCAACAAAAGGATTTGTCACAGTTCAGATGACAACGTGGTTGGTGCCTTTTGCTTGAGGCTGAGATTTTTGGTCTTCAGACTCTTTCTAGTGGGAGCATCTGCCTCTGCCCCCTTTTGCATTCCTTACCAGTGAGCTCCTGTAGTCAGAATTGTTTACTCTTAACCTGCCCTGCCTGAATTCTGCTTATCTTTACAGTCTTTTGAGGTATATGGAGGTTTTTTTGCTTATCATAAAAACATTTGTAGCTGAGCCAACAGCCTTTAGTTATTTTCAGTTACGATAGTGACCTTATGCATGTCCTCTTTTAGATGTGCTATTGGATACCAAACGTGGGGATGAAATACTTGTTAGATGTGTGATCAGACGCTTCCTCCACCAGACAAGTTCTTTGGCAGAAGCGAGGGTCACAGTATTGAATGTCACTTAAATCCTAGTGACGTTCTCAGATGTTACCTGCCAAAATATATAGATAGAAGGCATCCTGTGATGATTTTTAAAATGGTGAAACCACCTACTTCTCTCTGGACCTTTGAGGGCTTCACCTGGTTGGGGTGGAAGCTGGAGCATGACTCTTGCCTTCCCCAGGTGATACAACTGCCTTTTTGTGTTTTCAGTCTGGGAAACGTGCAGTGTTTCTGTGTTCGTGGTGTTGCCGTAGGTTTGCAGCGTTATATTTAGGTTGTGTACCTATTCTTGGGGCTCCATTTCTCTAGTCACCTGTGTATCTTTCTTTGCCTCTAGTCTGACAGAAAGTTGAAGAATGGGTGACTTCAGTGGTGGGGCTAGCTGGATGGATGTGGTTTTAATCAAATTTACTTCTCCCATGCTGAGTTTCTCTTGGCCAACAGGAAGATACCAGCCCTAACAGAGTTCTTCTGTGGGAACTTATCGCAACTTGTAAAGCAAACATTAGTTGTTCTTTGCCACCAAAGTGTTTGTCCTTCTTAACTTCTTATGTATTGTTAAAAGCCTTGCTTGCCTTCAGAGCTGGCTCTCATTTCCTTTCTGGAACTAAGGGAGGCTGTGTGCTGCTAGGGTTGCTTTCCCCAAAAGTCTTCCTGTTAGCATGTGGTTCTTTATTTGCAAGCTCCTTTAAATGGTGGCTGCCAAGAAGTGTTGTAGAAAATAGAATCCAAAAGCACGTGTGGACAGACTACCACCTAGTCTGCTAATGGTGACTTTCTATTCCTGATTTCTAGAGATTCTTAATGAGAAAAAGTAGCTGTGAAGTAATTTTGTCCCTCTTAGGAGCCTGAAGACACATAGCGGCTATTTTCCTGGGTTCTATACCAAGGCTGCTCTCCTGCAGGTTTGGGGAGAGGTTTGTTCCTGCTGCAGCAGGTGGTCCCAGCCTGCTCGCTGGGTGAAGTGCCTGGGTGGTGCCTCAGCCTGGAGCCCAGGCAGGAGGCACATGCTGTGTGCTTGTGATCCTGACCATGTCCCTAGCAACTGTCTCCTCCCACTTGGTGGGTGATGAGGGAGGTGAATCTTCATAGTCTCTCAAAAAGGGGCTGTCCCTGCACGGCAGGGCCACGGAGGTGGTGGAGCCACAACAATGGCGCAGAAAACAATACCAAATTATTTATTGGCTCTTCCTAATGACAGTCAGAAAGTGATATGGATAAAGGAACGTGGTAGAACACTCATTTCCCTACTTGCAATCTAGGGCGAAAAATGTGGCACTACTTAATAAAAATGAGTAGAAGAGCATTAGAAAGTAAGACAGAGAAGAAAGATAGGAGAAGGGTAGGAGAGAAGAAAAAGTATCACCCCCTGTGGATCCAGCGGCGCTGTCTTGGGTCGAGGTCCTGGTCTGTAGGTGGTGGATTGATGCCAATTCTTTCATGTCTGGAGTTTTTATAATTTGTCCTCTGGGGGAGTGTCTAAGCTGCTGGGGGGTTGGTCTCCAAGTTTCACATGCTCATTGTAGACTTGAGAATCTTCTCAAAATGGGGCGGGGGGTGTTTCATGGGGTCTTGGGTGGTTGTTTTGATCAGGTGCCCCACAAAGTGTCTGACTGGTATTTGACCCCGTTTGTGTGCATGCTCTTTTGGAGTTAGGGGAGTGGAGATACTCAGCCCTGCCTCTGCTGGGGCCCACCAGCTCCTCCTGTATCTCCACTTGTGTAAGAGTTTCGAGGCAAGGTCACCTTACCATCCTTCACGGCAGCTTTGCTCCACGCAAACACAACATTGGCTGTTGTGGCTGTGCCTGAGCAGCACAGCTGGTGGCTGGCACTGAGAGCTGGAGCCCAGCCCGTGGCCCCACCCTGCCTCTGCCTGTGGGGAAACCAGAGGAACGATGCACAAGGAAATTCACTGACTGTGAAGGGGTACGATTGCCCCTTTGTTTTTTAAGGTTAGGGGAAAAATCCAGGTGTGCATTCATTTTTTGTGGCAGTCATAGGAGTGATTCATAAGTCTCTTAAGGCAGGACCTTACAGCCTAAAAAGCTAGTGCCATTCTCACACAGTTTCTTTCCTGCAGATTTGAATGGGATAGATCTGACTCCTGTGCAGGATACTCCTGTGGCTCTGAGGAAGGAGGACACGTATGTCCATTTTAATGTGGACATCGAGATTCAGAAACACATTGAAAAACTAACAAAAGGTACGTGGTGTCAGAGACCTGAAACAAGGCCCAGGAGCTGTGAGAGTGTGGGCAGGAGGCTGCCCCTGAGCTGCTGTGGCTGCTCCAGGGCTCCAGATCCAGCCCAGGACAAAACCAGACCTTTGCATCCTGTCTCTCTCAAATCGGTCATTGTGATGACAAGGGGGGAATGAAAAGAGATAAAATGCAGCAGTCTGCTCTACAGCGGGGGTATGGAGCTGCTTTATCACCTCCTTGGTCACTGGACAAACTGTTCCCTGGGTGTGAGCAACTGAGTGAAAAGTACAAGCTCTCTGAGTGTGCTGAGCTTGGTGAGAACACAGTGTTGCCTTTGAGTAAAGAGCAGATGTCTTAAAGATAATTCCCTCCAAGGTACATAGAGCACCTTAGTGGCAGATAAGTTTTCAGGTAACTATTGGCCAGAATTGCTGACTTTTCTGTTAAACCGTTTTCCACTCTAGGTGCAGCTATTTTCTTTGAATTCAAACACTACAAGCCTAAGAAGAGGTTTACCAGCACCAAGTGCTTTGCTTTCATGGAGATGGATGAAATTAAACCTGGAGCAATTGTCATAGAACTGTAAGTGACTTGCAATTACAGATGCCAATGACAGGAAATGAACTAGACCTTAGTTACAGTGGGTGGCTTGTTACATCAAGGGAGGTTTCTTGGATTCATTAGGTGACTTTCATAAGGAATATTCTATCTTTAGTAAAGAAAAGGAGATAAAATGCTGCTAGGCAAATACAATGGCTAGAGACCCTTCTCAAAAACAAGACTATTTCCAAATACAGTGCTGGTGTTTGTAACTAAATTTTGTAAGAAGTTAACAAATTCTGGGTGGGAGGCTTTAATTTTGATCTTAGCTGATCTGACACTCCAGCTATATTTAAAACAAAACAATAAAACAAATCAACTCATACAGTCTTTTGGTACAGAATTTCTGTAAAATAAATCAGATTTGAGACAGGGGGTACTGATTTTCAATTGAATCTTAAGAACATTTTAAGGCATTGTTGGGTGGTTGTGGGTTCTTTTCCTGCTCTAAGTATCCCAAGAACTAGATTGGCCAGTTACACTGCTGTGTTATGATGTTATGTGTGTCTGAAGGTCTGAGTAAGGTTTCTGAGGGTTATTTTTCAGGAAGAGGGTGAACCTTGCAATCCTGGGCATCTCCAGGTAGAGTGGTTGGTCTGTGCTGGCTCGAGTACTTCTGAAGTACTCATACAGCATCTCCTACAATCCAGAGTACTGTATTGGGAATTCTCCTTACAAAACCCTTACATTCATTGAGAAATTGCAGTCTTTGTTTTGTTAAAAAGATAATCCAGAGAAAATACTGGTTTGAGTTTCTTCTTGAAAACCTGCTCACTATTGTTGCTTCCAGTAAGTCTTTCCAGACGTGTTTAACTGTACAGGACAGGCTTTGTCCACCTTGTGGATTAATTCACTTCTTCTGCTTACAGGTACAAAAAACCCACCGACTTTAAAAGGAAGAAATTACAACTGTTGACCAAGAAACCACTTTACCTTCACCTCCATCAAACATTGCACAAGGAATGACCCTGGCTGTGAGGACTGTGTGAACTGACCCCCCCGCCG